ACTAAGTTCATACGAAATTAAAGTTGGGTGTAAGAACTTTCTCTTAGTTTTCAATATGCAATCCTTTTAAGGTTACAGAATTTTAAGGTCATATAAATGCTCAATTGCTTCACAAAACTCACCTTTTGGAATACATTTCAAGCGTCTAATTACATTTTTCTGAACCCCCTCTGTGCTGTAAAAATAATTACTTTTGAGGTGAGACTCCACTTTAGACAGTTTAAAAAGTAGACTGAGATTGGCAAATTCCATGAATAAGGAGGATGGTTGAAAATTATGACAATTTTATTTAATTGCTTGAAAGGAACAGACAATTGTGACGAGACACAGTCCTAAAGCAGAAATTAGTTGTTAGGTTGAGATGTTTAGGGTCTAAAGCATAGAAAAATGTAGTTTCTCCATTATATCTTCATAAAATGTGGGACAATCGTTTTTCTCTCGGTAAAAAATTCTTGTGATTTACTTTTTCCAGTCAAAGGCGTTCACCAGAATGGTTTTATTCAACATTACTAAAATCGAAATTTTTATCGCCATCGGAAACTTTCTCCGGCTTATACAAGTGATTGCCATTTTATCTGAGAAGCAAAAACCCAGAAATTAAGTTTGTTTTCCAGTCACAATTTGTTTGAAAATTAGACTAAATTGAAATCTTTCTGAATTAAATCGTAGCCTGCAGAATTAGATCTTCTCTCTGTTTAGCAATGAATGATTGAGAGAAACCAGAATAAAACCTTTTCTTTATCTTCCACAGCAGTTTTGTGTAGAGTGTCCTTGCATGTGTTGTGGTCATTAATTATCATTAGACGGGACAGGTAACATTTTCTCAGCAACAAATGTTGGTTTTTTGTTTGTTTGTTTTTTGGTTCTCATTCGCTCCGAACTGTGAAGGAGGACTACTTTGGGGCTCATTGTCAACATTCTCGCCTGCCGTCCTATTGGTATTATGGTACAAAAGCCAGCTAGTGTAGTTCTGGGATTGGTTTCGAACACCAGAAAAAAGTAAACATAACCTACTTCTCAAAAAGGTGAAAGTAGAAAAGAAATAAGAGACTTTCAGATTCGTACAATGGAATGTTCTCCATCAAAACTGTGATGAAGTTTCTTAACGTACAATTCGGTTGTTCCCTGTGCTGTGCCCTGGACGATAATGTTCTCCGTGACGAGATGACTAAAATGCAGGATGCGTTTTGACCATTCCCAACAAAAGCGTTAAATGCCCGGCCATTTATGACATTAATAGCAGCGCAACAGGAATTTGATATCCATTCGGCCCACGAATGTATCAGAGTATGGCAGACAGATTTTGTTCATTCATGTACTCAAGTAGATTACTCATTCTCAGCAGTGTTGCTATTAGACGAGTCGAAAGTTCTTTAATTTATCTTTTATATTAGAACTTAAATTTGACCGAGTATTTTAAAACAACATAGTACTTACCTCATAAATTAAAACTTTTTATCTAATTTTAAGGGTACATTTAATTGATAATTTATAACTTACTCAAATGATAATTTTTAAGAACACATTGTATCATTGGTAAACTATTTTTAATACCGTGTACTACATACCTTAATTCGGAATTACCTTTTACGCTCTTACTTGTAAGAGGTTTTTAATCCCGTGTACAACATACTTTGATCCGGAATTATCTTTTACGCGCATAATTTTAAGAGCTTTTTGATTCCGTGCACAACATACTTTGATCTGGAATTATCGTTTACGTACTTAATTTTAAGAGTATATTTAATTGGTAATTTATATCTTACTCTACTGATAATTTTTACGAACACATTATATTATTGTTAAACTCTTTTTTAGTCCCGTACACTACGTACCTTGATCCGGAATTATCGTTTACGCGCTTAATTTTAATCCCGTGTACAGCATACCTAGTTTTAATCTCGCGTACAACATAGTTTTTTCATCCCGTGTACAACATACTTTGATCCAGAATTATCTTTTGCGAGCTTAATTTTAAGAGTGTTTTTTAATCCCATCTACTACATACTTTGATCCGGAATTATTTTTTACGCGCTTGAGTTTTAAGAGTATATCTAATTTTGATAATTTATATCTTACTACTAATAATTTTTACGAGCACATTGTATTATCGGTAAACTCTTTTGTTAATCCCGTGTTCTACATACATTGATCCGGAATAATCTTTTGCGCGCTTAATTTTAATCCCGTGTACAGCATACATAGTTTTAATCCCGTGTACAACATACCTTGATTCAAAATTACATTTTATGCGCTTAATTTTAAGAGTATATCTAATTGAAAATCTATAATTAATTCACTTGATATTATTACGAACACATTGTATTATTGCTAAACTCTTTTTTTAATCCCGTACACTACATAGCTTGATCCGCAATTATGTTTTACACGCCATCTGCTTAAGAAATTTTTATATAGGATTCAGGGTGAAATATACTGAAAACTCATTTGCAATCAAGTGCGTAAAATGATACCTCTGAAACTGAACAGCATATTTCTGAGAACTTAAAAAATATAAATTTTGACTAACGTTTATCTAGACCATGAAAACATATACGAGGAACTATACATTCCTATACGTCCGAAACATGACGGTCACTTCACAGAGAGTTTACTGGCAAATCAGTGTGAATACTGCAAAAATGTTTTCTCAGTGCGGGTTATGAAATATGATTACGGCTGTAACATTATCACAGCGAAAATGTGTTGTGATTATTTTTTTTAATTTAGGGAAATGTTTTTAAGTTTCCGCTTTTCCCCTTCAATTTTGTGCATTTTTCTGTTATTTCTATTGTAATTATTAAATTACTTTTCAACTGAAATATTTTAATTCAATTTCCCGGTAGAATTTCCGAAAAAACATGCGCCTCAAAATAATGCTGACATAAAATCCAAAGTAGAAGTTTGAATTTTGAATTTCTTAAATTTTGCTGCACTTGTGCAAAACAAAAAGAAACCTAGAATCATATAAAAAAACCGTCCAGTTTTCTGGTAATTTTAAAATAAACGGTAAAGTATTATTTCATACATCTCTAGAATATGGTTGGTCTTTAAATGTAAATTTCGATTAAAATTAAACAATATTTATTTAGTTACATTTTAATTATTTGTAATTATGCTTTGTTTCTTGTATACATCACTCTCCCAAATGTTAATGTAAACCCTCTAACGAAAAATGTATAGTGAAATTGTTAGTGTAAATGTCAGATCGTGAACGTTTTGGGAATTTTGTCTTTTTTCCGTGGTAAAATTATTCCCCTAATTACGAGGAGAAACAAATCATCAAATCCACCATTTTAATGGATCTTCGTACAATTTAAATATAGTGTACGGAAATGTTCGAAAACAGTCTTAAGTGGCCGAAAAATGAATTGCATAGATAATCATTTTCCTAACTCAATAAAATTAGCGCAAATTCCGCCCCCACTCAGTTTGGACATTTAAAATATACAAATAACTGGGTACTCCTTGTAATGAGAGCCAAATGCATATTTATTTTAATGAAATCTGGAAATTTTATTAATTATTTATTATTATTATTTTATTTTGGCTAGATTTAGTACCCTTTTTCAAATATTAATACTAACAAACAGAGTACAAACGAAAACACATAGCACTAGCAAAAAAAAAAAAGTTAGTAACAAACACAGTGATGTAGGGATTTAGAAGCCAAGTATTTTTTTAACTACACTTTATTTATTTAAATACTTAATAACTAATTTTAATTTATACATAAAATAAAAATTGGCTTTATGAAATAAAATCAATAATAAATTTTATTATAATCTATATATTATAAACTATTTGACCTTAATAAATCCTTATAATACTATGTTTGTTAGTTTCATGTTAATACACTATTTTTGTTAGTAGTATTTACGATTAGTAACAACGAGGTTAAGAATAAGGCTTGGATCACTCAGTATGTAAAGAACAGTATGCCTGTACAATAGGAGTTTCTATTAATGCTGCCCACCTTACATGCTTATCAACAGTTTTAATACAGTCTACATATCGGGAGTATTCATTTAAAACAGCTTTCTTAAAATTAGTTTCTTAAAAGTGTGCACTGCATTTTATTATCTTTCATCAAATCAAAGAACAGAAAAGAACGCAAATAAACTAACAAATTAATCTTACTTGTCCTGAAGCTCAAAACAAGGATTTCGAATAATGAAGTCACCGGCATTTAAAGTTCTTATAACTGGGATTCATTTGAAATCTACTGCAGTTACTTATTTTGTACTTCGTTTAAATTTTAAATTAAGTTATCACGATAACGGTTAATTTTGAATATGTCCAGTTGTGGTCGCAGTCGCTTATCATTTAAGCCAGCGATTCTTAAAACTGTAGTTTGGAAACACTACAGGTTTTGAGAGTAAATATCAAGGGATCTGTGAGTGGCTATTCCAAACGAAAATTTAAACTAGCTATGAAAGTTTTACTCTCAACAAAAGTTTTAAAATCAAATCCTGGACCTGCAAATGCAATGTGCAGAAGGGTGATAGTTTCGTGAAGCTTGTTTTCTGGGAAAATCGTATTCCTGGCTTTCAGAAGTTTTGGAAGTATACATATGCGATTCTAGTAAAAAACGTAATCTTGTAGTTATTTATCGCATTGAGCAATAAATATACCTCTTGGAAAAAAAAATTTTTTAATTTTAGGTGCATAAAAATTAAATTCCAAATCGTGTGGATACCCATTTTGTTTTACAAATACACGTTCTGAACAATGCACCAAAATTTCCCCATCTAGCGAAAAAGAAATAATATCGTTTTTTCCAGAGGAACAAGTCAATAAATAAATTTTCCTTGTCATGTTCTTGTCTTGTAATAATTTGAATACTAAGCATTAAATAGCTTTATACGTAAATGCTACACTGGACTAAACAACAAAGAACGCTATAGGTCCCGAAAATGGGTCCTAAAAGCCTTATTTACAGCTAACTTTAAATATTTTGGTTTTAAAGCATTACTTGATAATGAAGAAAAAAAACTTACTTTCATACTCTTAGTCCATTTTCCTTGAAACACGGAATGCAACTCTGAAGGAAAACTTCGCGGGGAGAAACAAGTGCCCTCATCACAGAGAAGGTCCAAATACGAACGAAATTAAAATGTTAAATTCCTCTCCGAAATAAATCCGGAGTTAGTTTTACTTAGAGTGGTAGCTCAACATTTACATCTCCACGTACTATTTTAGAAGTTTCACATGATGCGCGATTTCCGGATAAGGAAGAGGTTTCAGCTACGACTGACAGGTAACTTCGGCCTGCTTCTGACGACTCCGGCAAGACTCACTCAACTTCTCCTTCGGGCCCAGTCGCACCGTCGCCATTTGGCTGAGAAAGAAGTCGCCAAGTAAACACACCTTTTGATTAAATGTAGTACGACTTCCCACGCTCTGAAAGTTTAAATAACCAATTTCTCAATTAACCGGATGTTTATTATTCTCCCTTAAGGCGGCTCATATACCTTAAACCCCTTATGATCTTCGACTATGTGACTGTTGCAAGAATTGGGATATTTTATTTATTTTCTAAAAGCAATTGCTTCCAACTTTTTACAGCTGACTACATCATATAGCTGCTTTAGAAACTAATAAACAGAAAATTTGTATTGCCACGAATATTTTTTTTAGTTGAATCCGCTTTTTGACAAAATGTTTCGTCATGTTTCCACCTTGCGAGCATGATATTTTAAAAATGGCTAATGGTACATGCTTGAAATTAGATGGAATTTTTTATATGGGCACTATTTTCTAACTCAACCAAAAATCTGATGAATGTTTTCATATTAAAACATTTTATGCACAAAAACATTACAGACTTTTTTTAATAAAATACATTTTATAAACTAACTCCAAATAAAATAAAAATTATTATGAAATTATTAGAATTTTTGGTTCATGGTAGTTTCCAAATGTTATAAAAGCTATATATTAAATATGGAATTAAATTACGCAAAAGAATGTTTTAAACTGTGCTCGCAAAGTGGAAACATGACAAACCTTTTGTCACAAAGCGGATAAATTATAAAAATATTTGTGGCAACACAAGCGTTCTGATTACTATTTCACAAAGCAGCTATATTATTTAGTCAGCTGTAAAAGATTAGAAGTAATTGCTTTTAAAATCAATAAGTTATCCTAATTCTTGCAACAGTCACATATTCGAAGATCTTATGGGTTTTAAGGAGTATGAGTCCCCTTGAAGTAAAACTGACCTTGTTATTAGTCTATTCCTTTTTAGTTAACTTCAGTATACTTGGATATATAGCCTTTTTTTATTTAAATATAATTGGAAAAACTATTTTATTATTCTAAACAATTCCACACTACTGGTTTGAAAACTATAATTTTATATCAATAAAGAAATGAATATGCTTAATGTTAGAAAAGTGTAAATAGATTATATGTTTTACTTCCCTCGAATTTATCGTCTTTGCAAGAAAAAATTTTTTTTCTAACAAAAACGTTAGAAAACTGTAATTTCAGTTTTCTAACGTTTTTGTTTTCTATGCAAAAAATTACGTTTAATCTGTCAAATGTATTCCATTCTGTTCATTGACCTTTTGCAATCTTTCTGATAAATTCATGATTCCGAGCTTATAAAACTCTTAGGCATTTTTATCAGCAAACTTGATTTTTATCAGCAAAATTCTCAATTAAGTGTGATTTGAGGTCACCGTTATTACTGAAATCGTTAATATTTAAGAAATTTTATAAACTTCGAAAGAGATAATAATTCGATGGTGTACGGTCGGGTCTGTATGGTGGATGCGACATCACTTTCCAGTCAAACTCCCTTGCGATTTGCAAGTTTTGGTCTTTTCTGGTTGATTACTTACCCTAATGTCATACGCTCCAGGTAGTAAGCATCTGAGTTGATCATTTGGTTGTTTGAAAGCAGATCAAAATGCGCAACACCTTTGTAATCCCATCAAATTGGCAATATGATGTTTTTCTGATGCAATATAGCTTTCGATAAAATGTGTGCTGATTCATCATAAGTGAACTGTGATCTGTTTCAATTAATGTTATTGTGAAAGATCTATTTTTTATCACCAGTGATGATTCTTTTCAAAAAAGGGTCGATTTCATTATATTTGAAAGGCGCATCGCAAATATTAATTCATTGTGTTAAGTGAATCTCTTTCAATTAATTCAGAACCCAAATATAGGGCTTCTAAATATCTTATTCTAAGATTTCTTGTGTGATTTTAAACTGTTCTGTGCGATGTATTTAATTTTTTGCTCTCTCTCGCACATTTACAAGATGATTCGATTCATTTACGGCTTTTATTTTGTCTTGATCAACTTCAGAAGGTCGGTCAGAACGTCGGTCATCTTCAAGGTAAAAATTTCTAGAACAACATTTTTTTTAAACCAGTTCTGACACATGCGCTCTGTTAAGCAATCAACACCATGAACTTCAAATATCTTTTCATGAACGTCAGGCGTTTTCATTCCTTTATGAAAAAAAGCAGTAAAATATATATAGAAAATATTCCTTTTTGTAACCTTTGTTAAAATTGACCGCAAATTAACAGTTGTAAATAAAAATACATGGAACTTGTTTCCATAGCAAGACAAAGCTGCCAAATCTCAAAAGGAAAATATAAGATTGACAAAAGAATAACAAAACGAACATAACACTAACCATTGGTGCAAACTGAATTTACTTTCTTTCTTTACTTTGTAGAGCAATATTTTATTTTGAAACATAAGACAATACAAATGAGCAATTCCCACGCCGGGACTCGAACCTAAACCTCTCGAAATGCGCCTCGAGTGTGCTAACCGTTACACCAAGAATGCATGCAGAAAGGAGGCAGAAAATACCTTATATACTCCCCTTTTTAAAGGGCGACTGGGGAATAGGTGACCCAATCGCCAAATCTTGGCGATGAAAAATCATCATCTACCACCTTTTAGTTCAAGCGCCACTGTAGAGACATTACGTATTTTTAAACCGGAAAATGAAAAATGAGCAATGCCCTCTCCGGGACTTGAACCTGGACCTCTCGAATACGCTCCGAGTGTGCTAAGCGTTAAACCACAAAGGCATGTAGAAAGGAGGGAGAAAATGTAACTCTCTTTACGTTTTTTACTTTACTTCCGTTACTATCTGTTGGTGCAAACTGAACTTACGTAAAATACTATCTATTGGTGCGAATTGAAATTGCTAACTCAATATATACATATAGATATATATTTAATTTAACTTTGAGGATAAGGTCGTATGTTACCACTGAAACCTTATTTTAAACATAATGTTAATCACTTTTATTACTTTTCTTTATTTAAATCAGAAATGAATTATGCATTCAGAAAAATTAAGAGTAATCTTATTCTTTATTTTTCTCAAATAAATTAGGCTTTACCTTTTATTTTATGAAAATAAAATATCTCATTTTTAACTGCGTAATATGTAACGCTGATTTCAAATTAAAGGTCTTCAAATAAGCGTTTAAATAATGACGCAAACTTGTTTTCTGTACGAAGTCACGGAACTGCACTAATTTTAAAGAAGGAGATCGAAACCAGATTTAAATCAAGTAAGGTTTCGAAATTTGATTAAAATTTTGCTCTTAGATGTCAATTAAAACAGTATGCAAGTTGTTTTTTCTGTATTCTCTACTAATACTGATTATCTGTATCACAGGGTTTTTAAGGAGACTGCAATAATTGTTGTTGTCTTCGCTTTACCTATAAAATTCTCTCTTGGTAATTAGAATTCCGAAAATCGAAATTTTAGGTTTTCAGGTTTTTACATTTTGCTGTTGCACATGAGTGTTACGTAAGTTGATTTGTCTTACACCTATATACAAACTTTGTCGCCCATTCCCGTATTCCCTAAATTTAATTTAACGAGACAGTTTAATTCCGCTTACGGAAGTAACTTCGTTTTAAGAAACCTCTTATATCCTTTGTAAAATGTCTCTTGCTCTTCCATAGCATAAAATTTTGTTTCCAGCTCTTTATACGTGCACTATTATTATAATCTATATCCACTGAACAAGCTTTAGCAAAGTATTTTAATAAATAAATTGTTAAATTCTTTACATCAGTTTTAAATTTGAATTCATCAATTTGATTTTTCAGTAAAAGTTGCTGAGCGCATAGCAACTCATGGAATTAGCTCTGCCTGTATAACTGTTTACTTAGCAAGGATGCTGTCGTTGCAGGAAACCCTTAATACAGGCAAATAATCTTAGTTTAGTAAGAAGAGAATTACTCGAACAATTAGGTTCCTGAAACTGTTAATAAAAAAAGGAAGAAAATGAGAATGTGCCTACCCGTGAGAATAACAGACGAAATGAATGTTCTAACTGATCTATGGAAAACGAATATCCTAGAGCCATCTAATGATCTAAAATTAAATCATCTAAAATCAAATATGAAACAAATCTTTCAAAGGTTACTGGTAAATAGGGATTAGACGTGAAGTTGTTAAATTGAAACCAAATTTTTTTTTTTGAATATTAAATGCCTGAAAAATATCTACGATTGGTGAACTAGATTCTCTGGAAGAGTTTCACATCCATAAAAGTGTTTCGGCTTTGATTAATGATTCCAAATCTATTCCTTTGTTACCATCAAGTCAAGAGATGGCATTAGAAGCTTCTTTCCTATTATTTAACTGGAAAATTCTCGAATTTTTCTCTGTTGTTCTCCCATGCGCATGGTTATATTTCCTCCACTTTTCAATTCCATATCCGAGGAATTTTTTTTTAATCTTCGAACCTGCAATATTGCAGATTTACTCATGTTTCCACAACATGCTTGTTTTATTATTAATTTCTCTAGTAGCTTTCATATTCTGTTGGTGTTTCAATGGGTTACTTTTAAAGGATTTAAGTTTTCAATCGGCTTTCTTCAGCTGTTTTAATGGTAATAAGTTTTCTGTAAATATAAAAAAGCAGTCTGGACATTTTTTTAATTTTATTTTTCATTTGCGTCTAACGAAATCTACCTTTTCTTAAATCTAATCTACTTCAATTTAACTAAAATTATGTTAAGACATTATATTTAAAGCATAAAATAATACATTTGCTGACAGAATTAAAGTCTGACGGAAATAGATGATTAAGTAGCTTAAAGAAACAGAATAACTGCATATAGAATGTAATTAAATTTCCAATACTATCAATAAGCTATATACTTGACGAACACTGTAACCTAATTTATATCTCGCACATATTGATCGAAAATCAAATAACCTTTTCCTATAAGCTCGAACTCATATAAT